AAAGCTCTGCACAACCAACATGCATTTTCTTCCACACTTGCACGCTAAAGTCAGTAAACAGTCCTTGAGCTTGGTTTTGTGGTTTTAATAAATGGGTTAATAACTTGATGGGTATTGAGGGATGCATGGGATGCCCAAAGGGAACTGCAAACATGAGGACAAACTCCTTAGCAACTATGTACAGATATGGACAAAATAGCCTCGCCTCTGAGAGCATTCCAGATGAATCCTCCTCTTCACCCAGCTGCCTGAGGATATCCCTGGGTAAGGGGAACCAGAAACTGCCTCAGATGAGAAGCTAGTTGGGTTTTCCACCTGACTGCCCTCTCCCCTTATCTTAGGGGGTGTAGGACTACTCATACTGTCTCTCCTGTGAGCATGGTGTGTTGATGGCTGCCTTAAGACCTTAGGCTGGGCTGGCTTCTTCCCCACTCCACAGGCTGTCCTCTCTCTGGGGACAATGAGGCAGAGAGATCCTCCTTTCAGCTCCTGCCTGTAGGTAGGCCCCTTTCCTGGATCCTCTCCCAGGCTCCACACTCCAGCCTTCACTCCATCTTCTACCCAACACACTACTCCCTCAACGGATCAGGCTCTCTCATACTTAAGGGTCGCCCTGACCCCATGCCTAGCCTCCTGCTTGGGGATTGGTCAGAGTTCCTTAAGCATGCAGATCAGCCCCTCCTCACCCCTCCTCCAGAGCAGGGCGAGGTATGAGGGAACTGACCTGCAGAGACCTCAGCCCTAACCTAGAATAACCTGGCTAACTCATCCCAGAATGCTACTCAACCTCTGCCTAAAAAAACTAACCTAGCTACCCCTAGCTAAACTTGAGGCGCGCTACATACAGCGGATTTTTTTTTGAATCAGGTAAATATTGTGTAGTCTTCTGTCCATCCAGAAGGTAGAGCTCTATTTTTTCCTCACTCCAGAACTTAGCTCCTCCTTCTTGCTTTCTCACAATACCTAAGCTGATGGAAGATGGACTTGATAATAGCTGATACCTGTTACAAGAACATTGCTAAATCCTTAGCTCCACTCAAGACTCACTCCTCCTATCATACATACCTATCCTGTAGCTGGACTTCCCTTCTCCTTGTGAACAAGCCGGCAGTGGTGAAACATGTCAAGGAAGGTTGGTTTTTGGTTGGAAATATAGTTATATTCAGTCTTTTTTTATCAATCCAAAAATACAGAAAGAAGAGCTAGGTTATGGAGTGCAGCTAATATTTTTCATAACTTTGATGAAGAGTGGAGACATGCTGTGGTGATCGGCACACAGGTTTTCTGTGTGTCATGAAAAGAGAGAGTCTTTACCAGGGCCATGCATTTGGGTATATTTTTTCCTCTGTCACTTTGCCACTTTTTTATACAAAGCCTATTGTTTACAGAGCTCAGTAGCTCAAACCAAATATGTATTAACACAAGCAAATAACCCTACTCTTCCTTTAACGGACAGTTCCATCTGATTCAATCAGACAGACTGAGCCAAGAGGTTGTCTGGTACTGCTGTGCTATTTCTTAAGCTAACTAGTGTATTAAATGTTGAAACAAGAACATATAATAAAAATAATTAAACCATCAAGTTTAAAATTATAAGATTAAAATATAATTATTAAAATAAATTGATCCAAAACCATTATGGTTTTCCTTTAATGTAGGGTGTTTCACATACTGTTTTTGTTGATTTTCACTGATTAGGTAAATGCAGATTCCCTTCATCTCCCTTTTTTCTTTATGCTTTCCACAACAACAGAGTACTTCAAAACTCTTAAAAATCAAGCAAATATGTGTTTATTACATAGACAGGCTCTGTTTCCTGCTTTGCAGTGCTGCACAATGGTTGTGGTTTATTTCTCCTTGTCACAAAGCAAGTCTATGAGTCAACTGACTTATTTAAAAAATGTACCCCCTGTATGACCTATATCTTATCATTACAGCTATTAAGTAGTTATCTACCCTCATTCCAGTGACTAATCAACACATTTCTACATTTAAAATATCAAAGAGCAATCCTATACTGCAAATGTACACAGCAAGCATAAAGCTGGCCATAGACGTTCAAATCTACATCCCTGCTGAGCTGGTCGACATTTGAACAATGTATGGGCAGGCTGAATGTACCCAATATGATCAATTGATCAACTTGGGTACAACCAGCCTGTTGGATTTTACATGTGATTATTGCTAGCAGCTATTATAGCTGCTAGCAATAATCACCATGCTCTCATGGCTGGGGAGGCTTCCCCCTCCGCCTCGCCGGGAGAACACAATGGTTCCACGGGAAGGATTCCCCCCATCAACACTGACTGTCTGGATGGGGAATAAAGTGATTTTCTTTCCTGCAACCTATGGCTACAGGAAAGAATACCACTCCATCTATGGCCGGCTTAGCTCAAAATAGAGGGTAGAATGGAGAAGAAAAGGAGGTAGCAAGGGACATCCTTTATATTTTCAGCACCAAATGTACTTGTTTCTGGCAGCAGACCTATTTGTTCTTGGAATGGGTCTAGAGCAGGGACCTTTTGTAAACATTTTCAAGATGTGAAATAAAAAACTATACAAAGTCTGAAGATCTTCATAAAAGTCTTTAAGAGTCCATTTACATCACAGTGTGTATTATACTGTAGAGGGAAGCAATGCGTAGTTACAATGCATCACACTGTTTACATTTTAGAATTTTTTTTTTTAAACTTTATTGAAATGTAACAAAATTACATTTAATTTCTATGCACTGCAGCGCTAAGTAAAAAAAATGCAGCATTACTTTGTCTGTGTGTTGGGACTGCATTGGGCAATAATGCTAAAAGCAGCCTAACACATAAGGCATGAATGAACTAAAAAACTCAAGAAACACATTAGCATAGAGTTGTAAACAATGGATTTTTTTTTTTATAAATGTTGTATCCACATTGGAAAGATTTCTCCTCACTTTCTGTCCCAGCAAGTCAGGAAATAAATGTCCAGAGAGAGAGCAGAAATCCCACTTTTGTCACTGAGACAGTCGAGAGATTTCTCCAACTTTTGTTCTGAAGTCAACAGTGGTATGCTCCCTAACGTTCTTGTCACCAAGGCAGGAAATTAACATGAATCTCCCCAATGGGGACACAGGTGCTAACCCCCCCCCAAAAAAAAACAAAAATGCAGGTAGTATCTTTTCCCCATTTCCACTAAAAGTTGTTTTTACAAATCTGAATTTCCTCTAGAAAAAAGGAACAGAAAACCTACCTACTGAGCATTCTAAAAACGTACAGAGACAACTGCTTACAATGACCTTGTAAGAGGTTGCGACATACAAGAGGCTCTTAACAGTACTATGGCTACATCCAAGATGTTCCTATAGTTGTAGCTATAAAAGCAATATTGCTTCATTGATATAAAGACAGTATTTTCCTTTTAATGTGTATTTATGGCAGTCTTCTGAATACAGTTTTATACATTCAATGTCAAATAGACGTTTACAGGATAGATAACTTTCAGCAGTCTACTTACTCTGTTCCTGCTCCTGTCTTTCAGCGTTAGGTTTTAAACTTGAGAATTGTATGTCCTTTGTGTGATTATTGCCTCACCCTTTAACTTTTTTTCTTCCTCCTCCTCTTTTTTTTTCTTCTGTACTTTGGAACAATCCAGTCTGTCTTCTCTACACCGTACACCTGTTTGCAAACACGGGATAACAACACTCCACGTTAGAACAGTAAACTTTACAATTCCTGACATCTGATTATCAGCTACACACAGAAAAATGCAGCAGGACAGAAACTAGTTATGGTGTGTAAAGATAGCAACTTAAACTGTATTATAAATCTTCACAACCTTGAGGGTTTGTGGATCACTTCTTGATGGTTTGTGGATCACTTCTTGATGGTTTTGTGGATCACTTTGATGGTTTTGATGGTTTGTGGATCACTTCTTTGTGGATCACTTCTTGATGGTTTGTGTTCACTTCTTTAACTTCTTTCTCTGTTCTTAAAGTAATTAGGTAAAAGTTAAACCATTAAAGTATAGCTAAAGCCAAAGCTTGTTTTCAGTTTTGGAAATAGCAAGTGTTGCACTTTTGGGGTTCCCTGTCTTGCCTGACCCCATTCTGAAAGCCCAAATCCTGCTAACACCACCTTAAACCTTTAGTTAAAGAGGTCCTCTGACTGCAACTGTAAAAAGGACTCACAGACAGTTTAGAGTGAACTGAAAACTTAGTTGTATTAGGATTAAATGTAGGCAGTAAAACATCAGAAATGTTTGTGCATGAAATAATAAAGTTATAAAAAAAGTTATCACTTGGAGTAATTTTAAGAAAAAAAAAATCACACACAACAAAATCTCAATCAGTTATGGATATCCTGCAATTCAGAATTTAGCCAGTAACGCTGGCCCTGAGATGTCTTTCCCCAGTGAGCAAGAAAACTACCAAGCAGAGTGACTAGCTTGCTTCGGGCTCTCAGGAGCAGGTGACAGGGTTCAGTTCTGAGTCTAAGGAAAGGGAAATCTTGAATTGAGTAAGTCACTATACCTTTAAACTGCAGCTGTCAGGGCTCTGGGTATGACCAGAGGTGTGTGGACTGACACAGGGAAACGCAGGCTTCAGATATAGTATAAACAATATAATTTATTTAAGACTAAACATTACATAAACGCAGTGCAAGACTAAACATAAACACAGTGCAAACAAACCAAACCAAAACCCCCAACAGATAACAAAAGAACAATACTAAGCGTAGTCGGGCAGCCCGGGTCGGTAGCAAACAGGCAGGCAAGGTACAAAGGAGCAGGCAGAGCGTAGTCAGACGGGCCGGGTCAGGAACAATCAGGCAGACAAGGTACAAAGGAGCAGACTGGAGAGTGGTCAGGAATAGCAGAGGTCAGGACAGGCAGAGATCAATCAGAGTCAGGGATCAAGCAGGATCAGACAGGAAGCAGACAGGATGCAGGTACAGGGGCTCTTGGGAAACATACACCAAGGCCCTGATCACAGCGGCCTGGCCATTCCTTATATGCACCTTCTGCAATCAGCCTCAGGTGTTTTAGCTGACTGCAGAAGTGAGCCTCTGGTTGCTGAGAGCACCCGCTGGCCAATCCTGGTACTGCAACCCACAAGGCAGGTGAGTCCCACCACTATTGGCGAGTCCATTCCTGACAGTACCCCCCCCCCCTCAAGGAGCGGCCTCAGGACGCTCCAAACCGTCCTAAATGGGCAAAATGTTCCATCGCCCGGATCCGGTAATTGGCGGAATATCAAGGACTGGTACATCAGGCTGGGCACCGGGCGGAGGCACATCAGGCTGGGCACCGGACGGAGGCACATCAGGCTGGGCACCGGACGGAGGCACATCAGGCTGGGCACCGGACGGAGGCACATCAGGCTGGGCACCGGACGGAGGCACATCAGGCTGGGCACCGGACGGAGGCACATCAGGCTGGACACCGGACGGAGGCACATCAGGCTGGACACCGGACGGAGGCACATCAGGCTGGACACCGGACGGAGGCACATCAGGCTGGACACCGGACGGAGGCACATCAGGCTGGACATCGGACGGAGGCACATCAGGCTGGACACCGGACACCAGGCACATCAGGCGGAGCACGGGCACCAGGCACACCAGGCGGAGCAGCGGGGCACCAGGCCACATCAGGCTGGAGCACCGGCACCAGGCCACCAGGCGGAGCAGCGGGCACCAGGCCACCAGGCGGAGCAGCCGGACACCGAGTCATCTGGCAAGACTGCGGGCACCGAGTCATCTGGCAAAACAGCGGGCATCAGGGTCGTCAAGCTCGACAGGACAGGGCACCGAGTCATCTGGAAAAACAGCGGGCACCGGGTCATCTGGCAAGACAGCGGGCATCGGGTCGTCAGGCAAGACTGCGGGCGCCGAGGTCATCTGGGCACTGCGGGCGCCGAGTCACTGGCAGACTGCTGGGCACCGAGTCATCTGGCAAGACTGCGGGCGCCGAGTCCTCTGGCAAGACTGCGGGCGCCGAGTCCTCTGGCAAGACTGCGGGCGCCGAGTCCTCTGGCAAGCACTGCGGGCGCCGAGTCCTCTGGCAAGACTGCAGGCATCGGGCGCCGAGTCGTCAAGCTCAAGACTGCGGGCGCCGAGTCCTCTGGCAAGACTGCGGGCGCCGAGTCATCTGGCAAGACTGCGGGCGCCGAGTCATCTGGCAAGACTGCGGGCGCCGAGTCATCTGGCAAGACTGCGGGGCGCCGAGTCATCTGGCAAAACAGCGGGGCATTGGGTCGTCAAGCTCGACAGCGGGCACCGAGTCATCAAGCAAGACAGCGGGCATCGGGTCTTTAAGCTCGACAGCGGGCACCGAGTCATCTGGCAAAACTGCGGGCACCGAGTCATCTGGCAAGACTGCGGGCACAGAGTGGAAGGTCCTTTTGTGCACCCAGCTTCCTTCAAGATATTGTTCCAGTTTTAGGTTATAGTCTTGGGTCTTCAGCACCTATTTTAGGCAAGTCCCAAGCATCAAGCTTTTACAGAGATGTCCTTCTAGAGAGAAGTCCCAGAGGAAAGAGAGATCTGGAAAGGTGCTCCCAAACATTGATAATCTCCTCAAGCCATACCTTTAAATACAGCTCCTCAGGGTTGGGCTGGGGCAGATAAATAATCTTAACTCAGCGAGTTGATCCTCCTGCATTGCTTACTGAAACCTCCTTCCAGCAACAGACTGAGCCAGTTAATCCTACCATGCCTAAGATAGACCCACAGGGTTTTTTTACTAAAGCTGGAGAGTCCAAAATCAGACTCCCTTCTGCATAGAAACCAATCAGCTTCTAACCTCAGCTTGTTCAATGAAGCTTTGGCAATGAAACCTGGAAGCTGATTGGTTTCTATGCAGAAGGGAGTCTGATTTTGGACTCTCCAGCTTTAGTAAATAAACCCCACAGTGTCCAGAAAATGTAAGTAACAGTTAAGGCTGGTTACAACCCAGCAGTAACATACACTAAATTTAGCTAGGGGCACAATCACATAAGGTAGGGTTGCTACACTAGTAAAATCCTAGACAAAGGAACTGTGCAGGAATAGGTAAATTTGTGTCTATTTTCATGTGCACATACAGTTGCAAGAAAAAGTATGTGAACCCCTTGGGATTACGTGGAGTTTTGCATGAATTGAGCACAAAATGTGCTCTGAACGTCATCTAAGTCACAACAATAGAAGAACACAGTCTGCTGAACATAATACTACACAAACATTAGATGTTGCCATGGTTTAACTGCACATAACATGTAAACATTCACAGTGCAGGGAGGAAAAAGTATGTGAGGACCTAGCTTAATGACTTCTCCCAGAGCTAATTGGAGCCAGGAATGAGCTAACCTTGACTCCAATCAGTGTGATGATACTGGATGTGCTGCTGACAGCTGTCCTGCCCTTAAAAAACACATACCTGTTTTGGGTTTACTGGTTTCAAGAAGCACTGTCTGATGTGAACCATGCCTCGCAGAAAGGAGCTCTCAGAAGACCTACGATCAAGAATTGTTGACTTGCATGAAGCTGTAAAGGGTTACAAAAGTATCTCCAAAAGCCTTGATGTTCATGTGTCCACGGTAAGACAGACTGTCTACAAATGGAGAAAGTTTAGCACTGTTGCTACTCTCCCTAGGCGTTGTCGTTCTGTAAAAATGACTGCAAGTGTCAGGAATGGACTGGCCAGCAATGGTGGGACTCACCTGCCTTTTGATCTGCAGTACCAGGGCTGGCCAGCGGGTGCTCCCAGCAATCAGACTCAACCTTTCAGCCAGCTAACACCTGGAACTGATGATACTGGTGTATTTAAGGGATGGCCAGACTTGCAGACTCTGCCTTGGTGTTGTGTTTGTCCTGGGCCCTGTATCTGTCCTGCATCCTGTTTCTGTTCCTTTGCTGACCCTGCCTGATCTGAACCGCTGCTGACTTCTCCTGCTCTGATCCCGGCTCGCTCCTGACCATCCCTCTGCCTGACCCTCTGTACCACGCTGCTTGCTACCTGTTCTGATCCCTGGCTTGTGACCCTGACCATCCCTCTGCCTGACCCTCTGTACTACGCTGCTAGCTACCTGCTGAACCTGGCCTGTGACCCCGACCCATCTCCGCTTGCTCCCCCTGTACCTACCTGCCCTATTGATATTGACCCGGCCTGCCTGACGACGCTTGCTTGTATGTACTGTTATCTGTGGGTGGTTGGTTTGGTTTGTTTGCACTGTATTATGTTTTAGTATTGCACTGCGTTTATGTTTGTATGGTTAGTGTTAATAAATTATATTGTTTATCACATATCTGAAGTCTGCGTTTCCCTGCGTCAGTCACACACCTCTGGTCACACCTGGGAGCCCTGACAGCAAGAGCACAGCGCAGAATGCTGCATGAGGTAAAGAAGAATCCCAGAGTATCAGCTAAAGACCTACAGAAATCTCTGGCACATGCTAACATTTTTGTTGACACATCTACAATAAGGAAAACATTAAACAAGAATGGAGTACATGGGAGGACACCACAGAGGAAGCCATTGCTGTCCAAAAAGAATATTGCAGCACGTTTGAAGTTTGCAAAAGAGCACCTGGATGTTCCACAGCACTACTGGCAAAATATACTGTGAAGAGATGAAACCAAGATTGAGTTGTTTGGGAAGAACACAGAACACTATGTGTGGAGAAAAAAAGGCACAGCACACCAACATCAAAACCTCATCCCCACTGTAAAACATGGCGGAGGGAGCATCATGGTTTGGGGCTGCTTTGCTGCCTCAGGGCTTGGATGGATTGTTGTCATTGATGGGAAAATGAATTCCAGAGTTTATCAAGACATTTTGCAGGAAAACGTACGACCATCTGTCCGCCAACTGAAGCTCCGCAGAGGATGGATGATGCAACAGGACAATGACCAAAAGCATACAAGTGATTCAACAAAACAATGGCTGCAACAGCACAGAATACGCCTTCTGGAGTGGCCCAGTCAGAGTCCTGACCTCAACCCGATTGAAATGCTGTAGCATGACCTTAAGAGCGATTCACACCAGACATCCCAAGAATATTGCTACACTGAAACAGTTTTGTGAAGAGGAGTGGTCCAAAATTACTCCAGATCGTTGTGCAGGTCTGATCTGCAACTACGTGAAACGTTTGGTTGAGGTTATTGCTGCCAAAGGAGGGTCAACCAGTTATTAAGTCCAAAGGTTCACATAGTTTTTCCTCCCTGCACTGTGAATGTTTACATGTTATGTGCAATTAAGCCATAGCAACATCTAATGTTTGTGTAGTATTATGTTCAGCAGACTGTGTTCTTCTATTGTTGCGACTTAGATGACGTTCAGAGCACATTTTATGCCCAATTCATGCAAAAACTCCACGTAATCCCAAGGGGTTCACATACTTTTTCTTGCAACTGTATGTGCAAAAGTATGTTACACTTCAGTTTTACCAATCCTACTATGCCCTTTGAGTCTGTACTGTTTATACACCAGCATCGCTGATGACTCTCATTATCAGGACCTAGTGATGCTGACTAGCCCTATAGTGCCTCAAACACAGCAAACCTGCCACATTCCATTATTATTGATCAAGGCTGTTGCCAAATGTGGTTGCATCTTTACATGGGTTCTTAAATGCAGAAAACGCCTCTGCTTTTTCTCCTTCAACATGGCCCAAGGCCTTCTGGCATAGAATGTCTGGCTATCAGCTGCTTGTAGAGTTCTGAAAATCAGCTCCAAAGATTGCATGGCTTTGAGCTGCACTTTCTTCCTCAGCATGACTGGAAATAGACGCGGTTCTGTGCAGCTTGGTGGCCTTGGAGCTGCTTTTTCAAAGCTTGCAAACAGCTGATTGGCAGGAGTTCAGAGTGGCATAGGATGGCAAGTGAAGTGGTTTTTATGCCGTCTTTCTGTACAAGCTTTAGGAATGCCAGAATTAGAGATTAGCACTCTGCAAATTTTGGCATTACATACACAGCCTGATCTAATAGACGTCTGTCTAACAGACCCTCAGGATACTTATACATATGTGCTGGTGTACAGCACACATTACTGAGTACTCCATAAATCATATTCTTTATTATATATAACCCCATTAATAGCATTTGTGGCCTATCCACTTTTAAATCATTCTGGACCATCATGATGAATATTCTTTATTTTTTTTTAAATACCTTTTTCGATTAACCTTTTCATCACTTTGTGGGTTCTTTTGAAAATGATTATTGTTATTATACAGGATTTATATAGCACCAACAGTTTGCATAAAGCTTTACAATATGAAAACAGACAGAACAGTTTAAGTACTATTCAATAAAGAAGGATTAAGAGGGCCCTGCTCATGAAGCTTACTATTCAAAAGGGAGGGGGAAGTGGTACAAATGGTAAAAGCAGGGGATGGGGGGCTGACGGGGATTTTGGTCAAACTACAGTTTTTAGGTGAAGTTTTCAGGGATTGCCTAAAGGCAGACAGGGTAAGAGATAACCAGACAGATTGTCATATTCCTTACCCAGGGACACACACATCATGCACCCTAGGAAAACTCTGGGTACTCTACAGTATGCATGCCATGGCATATCATCAGGGGTGAGGCTGTCTTATCCTGGTTCTTGCTGACGGCTCCCTCATGATGTGATGTAAGGCATACACATAATCAGGCGCCTAGCTGCAAAAACCTTTTTGCAAGAAACTCCTGATGATGAAGTGGAGTGATCCCTACAGAACACTGCAGGATCACTAGGTGCGTAAGTATAT